TATTAGTGCATTTGAAATCGAGTTGGAAAGCGAACTGCCACTTCTGCCCTTGAGGAGATTCAATCACAACTCCGGCTCCTGCGGGTTTCCCCTACCAGCTTCTTCTTCGGTCTCAGAGCCGTCTTTGGCGAGAGCCGTCTCCTCGACCATCCCGATGATTATGACTTACTTGTTTTAATCTGAATTTCTCTGTTTTGATGTTGATTATTTTCATTTGCTTATTGGTGACGACATATGGTACATAAAAATTCCGTATATATGAATTATATTCCTACCAAAATGAGGGACTTGAGAATAAATACCTCTTAATTATATAGGTACGGCTAAACTAACCCTATTATAACTTTGAGGAATACTTTATTTTTTTTTAATACAAAAGTTTGGGTGTGCTGAAAATTATTACAGCTCTTCCAATCCCAAAACCACAAACTCCTGAGGCCCATTTGCTCCTTCTATTTGTATTAGGGGTGGGCATTCAAACCGGTAAACCGGAAATCCGAGCCGAACCGCACCGAGAAAACCGGGAAAAAAACCGAGTTGACTAAAAAGTCAACAACCGGTCAAAAAATCAAACCGGACCGGTTTGGACCGATTCCAATTCCGGTTTCATACCTCCAAAAACCGGACCGGGCCGAACCGGACCGGATTTAATATAATTAATTTTTAATTTTTAATTTTTATATATACATTGGGCCTTATTTTACCTCAACATTCACTCACACCTTGAAGCCCAAAGAATTGGGCCTAAACCTATCATCAATATCTCAAGCCCAACACTTTATATTTTAATTTTCTTAATAGCCTACCTTTTTTAATTAATATCACCTCAGCCAAAATTCAAACCCTAGCCGCATGTCTATTTCCTCTCACTATCTCATTCTTCCAAATCCAAACCCTAGCCGCATGCTCTTTTTTTTTCCTTCCATTTTCTCTCTCGTTGCCTTTCCCTTTTTCTCTCTCTCTCTCTCTCTCTCTTTTTCTTTTTTTCTTTTTTCTTCTCTCTTTCTCTCTTGAAGAAAACCTAGTGTCAACTTCTTCTTATCTTCTTCTCCTCTTCCTCTCCTCTCATCTCTGTCTGATTTCTCTTTTTGTTTCTTACTGGGCATCGATTGGATCTATTTTGCTGGATAGTTTTTTTTGGGTATCTTTTAAGGTTCAGATCTGGTTTTTCTTGTACAGATTCGTCGATTCGCTCTCAGCTCAGCAGCAATGACGGTGACGTTCCTCCTGCCATATGCTTACTCAGGTCAGTATCTCAGAGCATATCCATATCTAATCTTAGCAAAAATTTTGTTTTTGTTTTTATTACTGAAATCTGAAGTTTGGGTTTTTTTTCCTTCAACCATGCGCCGACAAATGACTAATGAGGTGGTCTTGATGGATACTAAGGTGATGACTTGCCCCTGAAACTCGTCACTTAAGGTGGTCTTGATGGAGACGAAGCACCCAATGGCCAAACTACTCGTCACTTAATATTATAAAAATAAAAATTTAAAAACTGTTGCCGGTCCAAATCGAAAAAATCAGAACCGAACCGGATTTTAACAGGTCCGGATTGGATCGGTTGAGTAATTAATTTTTTATGAGATCCGGATCGGACCGAACCGGATGAACAGTACGGTTCAGGTTCTAAATTTAACTAAGAACCGGTCCAAACCGGACCGTGCCCAGCCCTAATACCGGCGGAGATATTCCAAATCGCCCCTGCTGAAGGGGATTTTAGCCTCTAATCCACCGAGGTTGGGCAGGTAACTTGGCAGGCCTCTTGCTCTGGACTCCCTGTTCGCCTGGTATACGGCCTTAATGGCCGGGTCAGAACCGCTGGTGATGAGGAGCGCTTCTGCCTTTGTGTTCTTGAGGGCCAATTCTACGATTTCTCGGCTCTCAGGGGTCATGCCGTATAGATCCGTGGCCGAATGGTCCTTATGGAATTCTCTGAGGAAGGACAGACTGCTGGCCGAAAAAGGGGGATCCCTCCCGTGGTAGATGTCGATGACATCTTCATCTGTTCTTTAGATGACCGCGGCCTTTGGCTGAGCTGAATTGGCCGACGAACCACGGGGACTTTCGTCTTGCCTAGGGCGCCACGCCCTCAAAGGCTTGGTGTTGGCTGCTCTCACGGCCGGGGAGACAACTGGTTTGGATGACGGCCCGTCAGCAGTCACCACTTTCTTTTGGCGTTTGAAGTCCTCGACCTCGGTTGTCTGCATCCTGGCCTACTGAAACTGCCTCTGCATTCTTCTCAGCTGGGTTTTCGTCAGTGGTTCGGCCCTGCCCCCAGGCCGTGCATGGTACCAACGGTCATCCTTTATGACTGGTGGTTTGAAAGTTTTTATCGACCTAGGGGCGGCCTCTTCTTCGTGGCTGGCCGAGGCGTTGGGGTTTTGTGGCCCTAGTCGGTTGAAAACAGCTCTGCTGGTCGGCCGTCGACCGTACTGACCACCGAATCTTTTCACGGTCGTTTGAGATGGCTCGGCGGCCTTCCTCTTGTTCTCCTGCGGCCTGGGCTGACCGATCT